CTGTACTGCTTCCTCCCTGCCACATTGATGGGAATAAAAGGTTCATGGTCCCAATGACCATAATGGAGAAAAGAACCTGTAATTTCCCAGCAAAGATTGCCTTGCTTTAGAGAGATGTTCAATTCACTGCAGTATCCTTTACTCTTAGGAGCATAGGCTGGTTTTAGAGCATTTTTCAGCTGACTGAGGAGTTACATAATTGCACAATTACATCCAATTACATGACTAGGGTAAATAAGTAATAATATAATTAGGAGCTGTAATTATGTAGTTATGACAGGTAGCACTAATGCTGATAAAAGCCATTACAAAACTTGCTAAGAACTGTGGACAGAGCACATGAGAATGAAAGTTTCATGGCTTCGTTTGCTGAAGTCTTTCATTCTTCCAATGGGTAAAATAATTAATTTAATTGCTAAGCCAATAGCCTTTTACTTTTGCAAATGAATGGAGGTACAAATCACAGGCTAATTCATATCTCTGTTGAGCTGCAAAAAATGCAGTAACTAATCATGTCCTTTTTTTTTTAACCTCAATACATCTATTTACAGCTACCAAGGCTTGGGTAAAATATTTGTGGACAAATTACACCTCTGAAAAGAGAAGTATAAAACTTTGGATATTAACCTTCATTGTTCTAGTCATCACATTAAACTGTCTCCACTGACAAATGAAAACAAGGGACATTCAAAGATTGCTGTATCAATGTAATACAAGTTATGTGCACCTCTGGGTTTGCTAGGGATGGTGTTTCTGGTCAAATGGGTCAGATAAATAGGTTTTTTTTCTACAGGAATGAAAATTCAATAGGGGAATCATTCATGCAGGTTCTCAGTGCAAACACAAGGCATGCAGCCAGCTTTTCAAAGTTTCTGTCTCTTTGGATATTGTATAATACCTGTCTGACTTCATAAAAGAGGCCTGGAGAGCAAACAAATAATAAAACCTACTGCCCTGCTTTAATATTCATTAATATTTCACCCAATAACTGATATAAGATAGTGTGCAAGAAGAAAGGGCAGCACTGGAAGAGATGAAGTGCTTTATTCCCACCAACATCTCCATAAAGCCTGAGGTGTATAAACTGTGTGTTGCTTTAGAATACATTTTATGCTTGATGGTTTTTTTTTCTAAAAAAGAAAAAAAAAAACCCAGAAAAATTAATACCTTTCTTTATGTAAGCTGGATAACTCCTGACTACTTCAATTATTGCTCAGAGCAGTATGCTAAGCATTGAAGCAAACACAGAGCTGCTGGGAAAATTAAAATCACAGGGAACACCAGGAGTTTGCAGAGACAATGTCCACAGTCCAGAGCAAGAAAGCAAAAGAAGTGCTCTACCCCAAGGTCATCTGAGGCCAGAGACATGCAGGATAATGGGAATGCCTTGAAGCAAATCACCCCTGGAACAGAAATATAAGTGAACTTAGAAATCTGCAAGAATCTTGCATTTGAGTGAGGGGTGTGTAGAACATTGCCCACATGTTTCTTTCCTCTTCTTGAGCTGAAAAACTGGAGAGATGGACAATGATGTGTAAATAATTCCCATCCATTTTGGCATCCAGCCTTTCAAATAACATCCCAAAACAAGGAAACCACAGTATTCCTGTTTTTTTTTTTTAATCTGTTATGCTATCAGCAAGCCTTCAAACCAGATGCTGCACTGTTTGCTGGACAAATGATACATAGAAAACACTGAGAGTCACAAAGTAGACAGTCATATTTCTGGGCTCCGAGGAGGCTGGGCAATGAAGAAAAGGATTATTAGAAATTGTAGATACTTTCCCTGGTGCTTTGTTAACACTGATCATTATTCCAATGTTACTTTCTGCAATACTTTGCAAGTCAGGATTAGGTAAATGCAATTAATAATTGGTTCCTTACTGCAGTTGTAGGGATAGTGAGGATGAGGATAGTAGAGCTAAACTCTACTTTCTATTAGGTCACTGCAGCATACACCAAAATTTTGACCTATGTGTATTGAAGGACTTGAAGACTGGATTTGGGTAGAAGTTCTCCTTAAGTGATTTGGCTGTGAAAACACAGAATTCTGTTAAATTCCACATAATCCATTAAAGCTACAGAAGCAGCCATAAGAAGGTATTCCTGATCATAACAAAAACAATTAGAATGAAGAGAGTTCTTCCAAGAGTATGATTCACAGAGTTTTTTCACAAATACACAAATATAAAATCTCATTCCACCTTGTCCTTTTCAAAAAAGTCCTGAGACTGCCCTGCTATCCCAACCACCCATATCTATAAATATTTCCTCCGATCCCACACACCCCCAACAAGCCTTTTTCAGCAATGAGTCAATTCCATTGGCAAGTCCCTTGTAAAAGGTTAATTTCAAGTCTAGTTTCTGCCAAATCCTCACCAGGATGTGCTGTCCTACCTGGGACTTGCTCACCTGTCCCAGCATCACAAGGATGGCCACACAGCTTTCAGGCCGTCACAGAGTCTGAATCAGCTCATCTGTCTTCAAGACAAAAGCCATGCTCAGGCTTAATTAGTGCATGGAATGCAGCACATCTCACGTGCCTGTGGTGTAATTCATTACTATCAGGCTGTGTTTGGGACACACCAAAGAGATTTGCTACAGCAGCTCATACGTCTGACAGCTGCAAAATTGCCTCTGAGAGTTTTCTTTTTGACTCTTTCGGTCCTTAGCAAAGCTGTACTTCTAAATCTCTTCTTCCAGTCAGATATCATACTCCATTCCTGCAGCCAGATTATTTTCTTTAATTTCTTAGTATTCCTTGTAGCATGTAGCATACAGTAAATTCTCTGGCTACAAGAGAAAGTGTTCTTTTTTTTTTGTTTACTTAAGAAGTTCCATTTGCTTCTGCTATGCAGCATATCTTCCCTGGATTTCATACTAGGATTTTAAACTACAAAAAAACACAAGTCCTAATCCCATACCAGACACCTGTAGTTTGTTTAACCACTTATTTATCTTTTTTTCTCCCACTCTACCATTTATAATTTCATTCCATGTAAGCTTTACATTTCCTGATCCATAGGTACCTCTCCAGCATCCAAAATAACCTTTAACTGGAAAAAGAGAATTTAATAATCCCAAAAACTGGATTACTGCTAACACTTAAACTACCAGCCCTCTTCCTCAGAGGAACAAGGGCTTTGAGAAATCAGTTCAGTGTTTGGGGATCACGTGAGTTTTTGATGCTTTTCTGGTTTAGATATTCAAAAAGGAGTTCCAGCCATTAATGCAGAAGTAAAATACATTAGTGAATTGCACATCAGAAAAGTCAAACCACTGCTGCCACAGGATGAATATACTTACTATGAATATGAATGCATCTCTTGGAATTAAACATTAATACTTAACATACATACCACAAACTTTTAAAATCCTACAAACACTGCAGGGAGAGGAAGAGGAGGAATGAACAAATGAGACAGGCCCCAGAATCTGATTCCACAAATTAAAATGTATTTCTGACATAAGCTAAAATATTTCCATGTGTAACAGGACAACTTGCCACTATGAATAATTTCTCCTAATGCAACAGAATCTACATGGATTTGTTTTAGGTTTTCTACCTCGCCCACCAAACTGCAGAAGTGTAAATCCATCACTGCCTACAGCATAAACACCCTGAGCTGGGCAATGAGACTGATGGTTCAAAATTGAAGGAAACAGGCTGTTCCTCTGCACCTGAGCACTGGATTCCCGTCACCTGCCACAGCACCTTCCCTTCTAGTGGCAATAGCACTTACAAAAGCTCAATTTAACTGCAGCAATCGAGCATACACTCCTGTCTAAACACCACCATTTCCACTAATGCGAGTTCTTCAAGGTAAGCTCTGCACAAGGCTGCACAGTGCGTGGCAGTCAGCTCTAATTTTAGCCTGCTCCCAATTAGGCATCTTGTCTAAACTAACCATTTAGGCTCTCAATGGAGTGAGAAAGGTGAGTCAGCCCAGCTATCCTGGACACCCATCTGAAGGCAGGATAAATGACCCAGCTTTCTGCACTGTCAAGGCAGAAAGGAGCTGGGATCGATTGAAACCTGGCGCCTGAGCTGACGACAGCTGAAGTGAAAGGAGAAGAATCTTCCCCTTGGCTAAACTGGGGGGTAAAAGGCCACCCAGCACCTCAGTAATGAGGCTGGGTAGTATGTCCAGTCAGAGGCTTTATGAGTGATAACAGAGAGATAGTCTTGATAAAAATGCGGCTCCAGAAGTGCATAAACAGCGAATCCTGATGCACATTTGATTACAGCCTCCTCCAGGATTCAGACATATGCCAGCTCTGCAACCACAGAGCCTGGCATAGGCACTGAGCAGTGCAATACCTGCCAGCAAGTCCACGGGAAGAAAATGCTCCACCAGAATATCTCAGCAGGCAGGTAAAATTCCTCAAAAATGAAGCCCCAAGCCAGGCAGCTTCGATAATCCACTCGTGTCACTCAGCAGAACGAACCCTCCTCAGCAGCAGGCTGGAAACAAAATGTAATGGAACACCTCTCTGGCCCAGCATCATCACATTTCTCTCTCTAAATCCAAGTACTCTCCCTGCTTCACAAGGCAGTTTTTGTGGCTCTTCAAATCCCTGTGGCTGCTCTGCTTGGTCTTTTCACTAGCTTGTTCAGAGCAGCCATAGGAGAAAAGCACCAGCCCTGAGCACTGACCCCACGTTTCAGTGTGCAGCAGGAGATGTTATTTTTCTGGACAGCAGCCCAGAGACACTGGACAAAGCTGGAGCAGCAGCAGATGTTATGATGCATGCTCTCCTGCCCCAGCTCTGCCTAATGAGGCAGCAGAATCCACAGAGCACTGACACCAAACTGGAGACTGAGGCCTGCACCTTCATCTTTTCCATTATTGTTGCAGACTAAGACATGTGAAAAGATCTTTAAAAATACAGATCAATGCCTCCTATTGTTCAGAGAGAGGGGAAAAGGAAGATATTCTCTGCCCTAGCTGCAAGGAGCATCTCTCAGTTGCATAAAGCACATGCCCAAATTGACTTACCACAATCATTTGTGCCACATAGCTCTCTGGGCCAGTGTATTCAGTTGGATCTTTAACTTTGACAAGAACTATAAAGTACAAATAATGCCACATGTTGTGCTCTGCCTTTATATGCTCCTCAAACGAAACGGTCTTGTTATCAAATTTGTCTCTCTCCAGTCCTGCAAAAAGAGAAGAACATAAAGCCAAAAAATAAATTTCAACATAGAAATACACAAATCTGTTAAATATGTTAGAGAAGGGAACCTAACTTAATTTAAAGGATCATAAATTTGAAAGATCTTAATTTAAAAGCCGTAACTGCCAGGCAAGAAATACCAGGCCAGAAGGCATTCCTGACAGAAGTCTTTCAACGCAGCATTTATTCTCTTTTGTGATATTTCCTCTTAATAACAATAACAATATAATAAATATGTTACAGTTTTACAGAGCCTTCTATGCTGAGGGCCATAAAGTGTTTTACAAGTGTTGGCTCTGGCTCTTTCTGGATGTATACTGGGAAGCACATAGTGTGCAGTCCAGGCCCTGATCTTCCAAAGATTTATGCACACTTTTAGCATCAAACTATAAAGAGTCCCACTTAAACTTCAGTGGCATTGTTTGTGGGCTTAAACCTGGCAGAGAGGCTGAGTCCCTGCAGCTCATTTGTAACACAGTCTTTACAGAGGCATAAGAAATTTTTTTTTTATTTTTCCCTGTAATGGTCCAGATCTCTGAGGAAGAATACCAGAAGTGAGGAAGGAGAGGAATCACCAATGTTTGCCTCCGTGGATTTCCTGTCCACAGACACTGTCTAAAGACATGTTGTGCTCTGCACAGACTTCATCCCTGTCAGCACAACCATGGAAGCAGCACCCAAGGCTACAAAAAAAGCAGCTATGAAGTCCCCCAGGGAGTGAAGGTCTGTCCCTCTTTGTGAGTGCACTTGAAAATAAGTGTGATTTTTTGTGGGCTTTGTGGGGATGATTTCCACTAAATTTCTTTGATCCCTGCTTCATATCACCTTCTGAAATTGGCAGCTCTTGCTGATGCTCCCCCTCTGGAATGCCCTGTGCTGTGAAATAGAAGCTGCACTTTGATCTGCAGCAAGCTCTGTGAAACAGAGTCAGCAGCTGCCCCATCTCCATTAGTGGTGATGATGCAAGCGTGAGACACAGCTCTCCTGCCTCGGATTCTGGGTGGAGACTGTGAAGCCACCTCTCAGCAAAACTAGCTTTTGATTCATAAACCAAATCTGTCTCCTGCTGAGAGGGAATAAATTTGGAATCAGCCTCTAGAATTTTTACAGGCCTTCCTTGTAGAAGATAACCATGCCTGGGGCCCAAGCTTTATTTCTTGAGGAACAGTTCATTTTCACTCCTTTCACCCTCAAATATCTCAAGAGATCAGTAACACCTACCACAGATGAAACAGGTGGTCTTTAGTATCTCCTCCTTTTTCTGCTTTTCGCTCCTGAGATCAGCAAATGTATCAATGATGACTCCAAAGATCAGATTGAGAACAATAATTATGACAATGAAGTAAAACAGAAGATCATAAACAACTCGTGCAGCAAACAAAGGCTCCTGCAATAGCAAGGTTGCAATAAGGTATAAAAATAGCACAAATCTAAAATATTAAACAACACTTTCACATTAGCTCAAGCAAAGCTACAGATCTCTTTTCATATGCCAAATTTTGCTAGCCTTACTCACAGGACTAGGGAGGGACTATCTCTATCCTTCCCCACGACAGAGATTTGAAGTCACCCAAAATTGCTCAGTTTCCCACACATTCACGGGAATAATAGCACTACCCTTTAGGGACTGTGCCCATATAATTAAGCATTAAAGAGCTGCTAAGTGGCAAGGTTCAATTTCAAAGGGTCACTTTCAAAGTCTGTAAGTACTTACAGACTCCACTGGGGATAAATTTTGGCTCCTGCAGAACCTCCCAGTCTGTGAGACAGGATATAGACTCCTCCTACCAGCACAGGGAGCTCTTCCATCCAGATTTGAGTTGTCTCTGGACTCCTGCAAGCCCTGCTAGGATCCTACTTGATCCTGAATTTATTTATAACACGTATAGTGTGGCTCATCAAGCAAAGTGCTGCTAGATTGCCTTTATTTGTGATGTTCTTTTTGAACCTAAATAAGAATGCATGAAACCACCCAAATATTAAGGGAGGTCCTAAAATGAATTGCATTTTTGAGGAAATTTCTGCAAGAGAAAATATGCCACAATAGATGAAATTCTGGTTTGATCTTCATTCTGGTTGAGTACAAGTAAACAACAGAACCTATTCCAGGGAAGATGCCATGCTGAATATAAGGTAAAATGTCCAGGTGGAACCTCCTGGGCTCAGTCCCTGCCCGTGGCTCTGGTGCCATTGCTGGGCCCCCAGAGCAGAGCCTGGGCCCTGCTCGGAGCCCTCCCTGCAGCCAGGGACACCCAGGGCTGAGGGCCCCTCTCAGCTGGGGCTCCTCTCCAGCTGCACAGCCCCAGCTCCCTCAGCCTTTCCCTGCCAGGGATGCTCCAGGCCCTGAATCATCTCTGCAGCCTCTGCCGGCCCCGCTGCAGGAGCTCCTCCTGTGGTGAGGAGCCCAGGACTGGACCCAGCATTCCAGATGTGCCTCCCAGGGCTGACTTCTTAGCAGTGCTTTGAAGGTTATGATATTCTGCATTTTTCCAGAAGTGGTAAACAGCTACCTAGACATCCTTTCTTCAAGTATCATCATCACACCAAGCCTAGCTCTTCCCGTTAAATATCCCATCTGGGATCTAAAAATTACAAGGATTAATCAACTGTGTGACATGAGATCAGACTAGATACAAACACTGTCTATAACCTCCAAAAATTGACTTTGGCATTCATGAGATGCACAGGGAGTAATGCATTTCCTGAGCCAGAACACTCACATCTTTGGAAGGCTTTCTGAGCACGTCTCCCACACCACCACCATTCCTCAGGCCTTGGTTTAACACGGTTACAATGCACATGAGCAGGGTGTCACAGGTCCTTTCTATTCCATCCTCCTCTTCTTCACCTGCAAACAGGAACCACAGCATCAAACAACCACTCATCAAACAAAGCCAAATTCTGTTGGAGAAAGCAACTGCAAGACACATCTGCCTCTCGTATTTCTCATCCAGAACCTCATTGATCATCCCCACCCATGTGCACATCCCTGCTGGTGACAAACTTAGGCACATCAGGCACAATTAGCCTGAAGAGAGACGAAGAAAATCACAAGCAGAGCTCCCACCCGCTGTTAATGACCCAGAGCCACCATCTCTGCTCATGGGAGGACCCCTTCTCCTTGCAGTCCTCCCACAGCTTTTCCAGTGGGCCCCCTAAAAATGCAGCATAGACAAGAAGCAATATAAACAGAGAATTAGAAGCACATTTGCAAAAGGATTGTCTTCCTGTGAAATCATTCCTCTACCTATTCATGTAGAAGCCAAGTCATGTTAGTATTTCAAACCATTAAGGAGGGGCTGGCTTTTGTTCGAGTCGGTCTGTCTGTGATTTTTCCACCAGCACATGTGCCCGAGCACAGGTCTGACAGACCTTAAATGAAAGGCTCTCCCTGGCCTCAGCTTGAAATCTTGGATTCTGTTCTTATCTGTGCTGCAGAGCTGCTGTGTGGTTTTGGCCGAGCCACAGAGGGTACTATTGTACAGGAGATATTTGAACGTGCAGAGATATTTGGAACACCAAACCCCAGGGGGACTTGGTCCACCTTGGCCAGAGTCCCTCTCAGCACACACTCACTGCTTCCACAGCCTGCCTTTGAAGAGCCCTGCTTGAGCTGTTCCCTGTGTCCTGCTGGCTTGGGCTGAAGGGTCAGGGCTGTGCCTGCCATTCCTCCTGCCTTCCTTCCTCTTCAGGGCACGCTTGCTTGGGCGGGGAAGGCAGCGATTCACACTTGTTCCCTCCGTGCACTCTTTGTAACAGAGTTTAACAAATAACAGCATCCCACTGTGAGAGTTGACTGAAGCACATATTTAACAGCCCCAAACCCCCACAGCTGGGGCACTGAGATAGACTCTGATAAATTGAATTGACTGCAAGCACTCACATTGCAGACAAGTAATTTGGATTGAAATTTAATTTTGGATTTGGGTTCCCAAATTGTGGTGCATGTGTCCTGGCTAGGATGGGCGGGACATTGCTGATGTCTGCTGCTTTTGCCACCACTGCTTCTGTGCCACAGGCAAATTAAATGAGAAACAACTCCCTACTGAAGGAACTTTGAGCAAAAAGAAAAGCAAAAGCAGACATCAGGACAGACTTCCCTGTTAAACTATATGGTCATTACAGACACTACTCACACAAATAAGCCTGGATTTAAAAATAACTGCTTAAATATTGAAACTGAAAAGATTAAAACAAGAAACCTTTTTTATCCTGTCATACCTAGATTTTTTTTTTACGGGCACAGTGATGTTATTCATACCAACTAATACCAACTAATCTTTGCTCTTGTATCCTGCCATTATTCCCTGCTTTCAAACAATATTCCATCTTTGCTTTTTTTTTTTAACTACTTTTTTTTTTATTATTTTATTTTGGAGCTGTGCTTGAGAAGCACATCCACAAAATAAATAAAAAGCCTTCAAAAAGCCACAGTTTCTATTTCTTTTAGGTAACTACAATATTTTTCTCTGTTCACAAGACCAGACACAGGTTCTGGAAGCAGCAGATGATCAGATTCTGGTGAACAGAGAGGATAATCTGGGACTGAGAACTGAAGAGGGAATTATCTACCAGGAGCCCTAACACCAACTCTCCCTGTCCACTGAGATGCTAATTCAGAGCAAGCCTGGCTTCAGAGAAACAAGATACATCACTTTGCACGTCTTGCAACACAGAAAATCAGCATCCCAGCCAGAAAAGCTCCCAGAAAAGCAAGCTCAGGTTGCAAGATCTTTGCCAGAGAACCAGACAGCCCAAAGTTGGCAGAAACCTCTAGTGCAGCAATGTCGCTGTGGGGAGTGTACAGACATCGTTTCTGCTGTTCTATTCCACTCCCAGATGTGGAGCAACAAGAGCTGCCTTCAAGATGGGAGCCAGGCAACCCTACAGGCACATGTTCTGCCTCAGCTTCTGTTCTCAGTGCTCAGCAGCATTCACAGTGCAGGCTCAGCCCCTCCAGGCACCAGCTATACCCATACCTGAAAGAAAGGAGTGGCTCTGTAGAGTGCACTGTTGTTGAGGTCCCAATATTGACACTAATTGAGGTTCAGGGGGGTAATTTGCAAGCAGTTCCACCCTGGAAAGTGGCTTGTGAGGGTCTGGACAGCATTAGGCAGGCTGTCTTCTGATTAAATTTAATTCACAGGCAAAACAGGTTAAGTGCTAAGACCACCCCACAATATTAATCACGGGACAGGGGAGGGATAATAGGGAGATTTACTTCACAAATCCTCATCTGATGGCCCTCAGCTACCTGGGTTTCAGTGCATCAGGTGAGACACACCTGTGCCCACGTGGATCCAGCAGAACTTGCACAGAGCAGGACCAGGCCTGGCAGTGGAATGAGTCTTTGGAAATGTCCTATTTTACAAACAGGTATCTGTGTACCTTTCTAGCCCAGGTCTTTATGGACTACAGAGGATGAGGAGATATGTACTGTAGGATGTGAAGTTCCTTTAAGTGATTAGGCACTTCACCAGGCACAGACTGAAGTGATATGGAAATGTCTTTGGAGTGGAGAGAGGGAGACTCAGAGGCAGATAAGATGAAGTATTTTTATGCTGACAGCCCAGAGCAGCAGTGAGCAGCAGGCTGCAGAGAGGGGAGGTTCCCTGGGCACAGCACACTGCCTCCCAGGGAACTCCCTCGCCAGGAAGAGCAATAACTGGGCACAGGTTCCACCAGTGAAACCCAAGGAAGAAGCAGAATCCCATCAGAAGAAATGATCAGCAGTGATCTGATCTGAAAAGCAACATAATTCATGTCTCACTCGGGACCTGAGGTGCCACTGAGAACATTTTCTCTCTCCCCCACACAGCGGTGGAATTCTCTGGTGCTGCAGTGTGAAACTCCCCAAATCTCACAGAATCATAGCACCATTACAGCTGGAAGAGACCTCTGAGTCTGAGTCCAACCACTCACCCAACCATGCCATGTTCCCCACTAAACCACACCCCAGGTTCCTCTCCCCACACCTTTTGAACACTTCCAGGGATGGTGATCTCATGCTTTTGCATTCCACCGTGCTCACACTTCTGCCAGAGGGGAAATCTGTCCCAGGAAAAGACAGAAAGTAGAACAATTCCTTTGACCAAGTGGCTAAGGTGAGCAAAACTGTTCTAGCTGAATGTTGGTGGGTTTTAATGGTACTGGATAAATAAAATTTCTTCAAGATTAAGTAAGAGTGCACTTAGATGTTTTGTACAGCCCTCTTTCATTATGGTTTGGTTTTAAAGGAGCAGTACCCAAACAATGAGAAATGTGAGATTTCTATCATTTAAAGAGCTTGGCAAAAACCATACTGCATCTTTTTGACTGATTGATTACTCTTTGAATGCTGCAGCTTTGCCAATAGCTCTTAGACTGTTTTCTCTATCTAGCCAGACAGCTTCCCATGTTGTTTATGAGGCCTATTTACACACCAGCTGGGGAGAAAAAGCCTGCTTTTATAGCCCTCTCCCTGAAGGCTTTGATCCTAAAAACTCAAAAATTAGTGGAAGAATAAAGCTTATGAAACAACATTATACTGGCACACAGTAAGGGACCATTTATGTCCTCACTTTTCAGCCCCCAGCAACCACAAGCAACTGTGGCAGTAAATATTTTGAGCCTGCAGACCATCCACTGTGCACACACCTCCACTGCAAAGGCCACAACACATCAAACCAAACTTAAGACCTGCACTGAAACATCAGCCACCTCAACTAGACTGTGCCCCTTAGAAAGAGGGGGAGACAAACAGACATGTGGGCCTGGATCTGGGTTCTTAGGTTTTCTGGCTACAATACAGCCTTGGCCCAGATACATCTAGAAAAAATACACAATATGCACAATACAAAATACACAGCATATCTATCAGAATGTAAAATACATTCTGATAGATATGTTATGCCATGAAAACGAATTTCTGTGGCCCTAACTGGATCTAACAGTGGCTCAGTGTGTGCAGGTGAGGATGCTGCAGACAAGCAGCAAGCTGTTTCTCTCAGCTAAGTCACTTGCCAAGAAGCAACCTGTATGTTCAAGCATAATGATTCAGCAAGCTCTTTTAATATCAAACTTAATGTCAGTGCATTTGGAAATCAGGTGTGGGAAGCACCTCCATTAACAGCAAAGCTGCCAACTAAGCTCCAAGTCTTGCAGAAGTTAAGCACTTCTGACTCACAAGAGTCACAAGAGTCACTCACTTCTCACACCAGCAGAAGTCACTGAAACAGCAACACACAGATCAGAGAATCCCAGAACCACAGGTTTGGGTTGGAAGGGACCTGAAAGACCATCTCATTCCAACCCCTCTGCCATGGGTAGGGGCACCTTCCACTAGACCAGGCTGCTCCAAGCCCCATCCAACGTGGCCTTGAACATTTCCAGGGATCCCTCGGTTCAAAGTGATCATTGCTCTGAGGGAAGCTCTGTACTGACCTGGGTTAAGGGCTGGGATGCTCGTGGAACAGTTCTCTTTTGCACAGGCTCCCATGATTGATGTCAGGGTTGTAGTGGGAACTTCACCAATACCTGTGGAAAAAGCAGGATGTTGACAAAAAGACAGGCACTACATTGATGTTAGGTTATAAATCATTATTTTCTAGGAGCGAATCACCAGGCTGGATAGTTAAGAAGGAAAAACAGAACAAATTACACCAGCAATTCCTCCCTCCTTGAAAGATTCTGCCTCAACAGCTCAAAGCAATCACAATGAACAAAAGCACAGTTTTATATTTACTGTATATCACAGCTATTCCCATTTCATCTCCTGAAATTAATGAATCTACATCAAATACGTCTGCTTCTGGTGAGCACAAAATATATTCAAAGCAAGAAACAACTGTCAGATATGAAAATAATGTCAGTTTTAAAAACCATTAGATAAATTATTCACAAAAGCTGACAAGAAGGACACCAAACTGACATTCAGTTATCCTGAATGTAGAATATTTAAGGGTTTTCAAGGATTATAACACAGTTTGGTACTCATTTGTAAATATGTATGGGTTTGTGTAAAACACTAATTTAACATTCCCGAAGTAGTAAATGTATACATCAGCTTGATTTTATCAAACCAATTTTCTCTTGTGCACCTTCAACAATTTTCTGCATTTCAAATTAGAGAAACAAAAAGGTTTAAGGAGAAAAAAATGAAGGCAAAACTATACAACAAAATAACAGCCTAAGACAGTATGTGTAATGCAGAAAACATGCACTCTGACTTACTCTTTCTGCTACTTTATAAAGAAAAAATTTAAAGCACTTGTCCTGGGAAGTATAATGTTCCATCAACATGCAGTCAGCATATTTTCTTGATGAGTTTTTGATTAGAAATGGCAATGTATGAAGCCAGCAAGAACAGACCCACACCACAAAAATCTGCCAAGAACTCAACAGAAGCAACACAAACACACAGGAGCTGCTGCCCTGGTGCAGACCAGAGCTGTGTGTAGCCTGTTTTATTAAGATGGTCACATCTACCTTTTGAAGTGAAACTTCACACCCTAAGTTCTGTCCCAAAAATGAATGGTAAGTCAAATATAAGCCAATTTAGCCCCTAATGGATGATGAGTGGCAGAAAAAAAAAAGAAAAATCAAAAAAAATCACAGTATGCTAAAGAAATCTGTCAGGTTCCTTTTTTCTCATATGGTTTTGAACCAGCTGCAGAAATACACCAGGCCCATGAGTCTTGAATGACCTTTGCCTTGTTTGTGAGCTTTAAATCCTGAAAAAACAATTTCAGGAAAAGACTGGCAAACACTGAGTGCACACAGTCCCGGCTGGGTTCCGCCAGATCTGTGCTTGTGTACAGGTCTGAAGAGTTCAGCATTTGGGAAAATCATGCCTCGAGGAATTTAATCAGCAGCCATTCTTAGTATTTCTCTGCAGCCAGTTGTTACTCCCCTGCCCATGCTCCCAGCAGGCTGGTTGGCAGCACACACAAAGCTCTCAACAGACCAGACCTGGCTCTTTTCTAGCAAAACAAATTTGTAACTCTCTATTCACTTTGCTAAACTCTCTCATTCCAGAAAGCTGAAATCCTGGCCTTTTTAAAACTGGCTCCAAACCTCCCAATGACTTTACTGAAGCCAGGATTAGACACTAAGGATAATGATCATGAAATACACACTGAATTTAAAAGATGCTCCTAGCAGTAGAAATGTGAATTCTGTAATAAATGTCTGCTGGATGAAGCTTAAAATGCAATGAAATAGATACAGCTAATGAACATGTTAAGATCACATGCTTCATACAGTACACAGAAATTACTATGAGCTGCTTTTAAAGTGGGATGAGAACCAATACAATCCACTTGGAGCTGCTTTTCACTTAGGAAAATACTTAGGAAATACAGATTATTTTTTTAATGTTACCACAAGTTTGTAAAGCAAACATAATAAATCAAATGTGCTAGATTTTAGCATTTCAAGAAAGAAGCCCAGACAAAACCAACCCTATACACATTAAATTTTACACAGAGACTCAGTTGAATTCTAAGGTATATAGAATTAGTTCTGCTCACATGCAGGCACAAATAAAAAAATTTGATGTCCTTAGATGAAAAGTTAAGTTAGGCAGACAGAAAAAGGGGTATGTCAGAAGCAAATTTTAATATAAAAAACAATACCTGCAGCAGGGGTCCTGATTTTCAACCTGTCAACCTCCATGATAAAGTCATCCTTCAGGAAGAGGAAGCCAATGATGGAGAAGAGATAAACCAGGATGAGAGCAAGCACTGCAGTGAGGATAATTGAACGGCCATTCCGGGTAACACTTTTTATCACATTTAGCAATGTCTCCTCCCTGTACACCAGATCAAACAGCTGGGGAAGGCAGAAAGTGGAGGAAAAATGAATACAAATGAGGCAATATATAGATGCTACATAGGAAAACAATCTGAACTATTGAAACATGCATCCAGCCACGTTCAACATTCTCAGCTTCATAAACTCACATTGATCTCAGTGGGAGCTGGTCATGCTTATGGAGAGGGAAATCTAGCACAGAACTTTAAATTTTAAAATTAATTATAGCAAAATCCACAAAATATATTTGAGCCTGATTCAGAGATGGACAACACCTACCATCAAGATCTGTTGTTTCCCCATGTTTAAAATCAGGCTAGATTAAAATTTAAACAGTGTCTTCATACTATGGATCTGCAAAGGAATTTTTCATGTTATCTCTCATCTGACAAACATGCACAGGCTGCAACTTAGAAATACACTCATATATATAAGTAATTACATATTTGTAAACTTCCTTTAAGCTCATGGCATCATGTAAATGTCACATGGACAAGGATTGGGGCCACTTCGTCTTAGGACAAAGTTAAATTCATGTCACTGTTTGTATAAGAATAGAAACTTCTATTATTCTCTACTCTGCAGTATATGGTTTCCAGGTATTTAACTTTAAAGAAAACTATATATTAAGATAATATTGCTTTAAAAGTCAAAAGTCTAAACCAGCAATTAAACATGACAGGAGCTTTACAAGAACCTGTAACTTTTTTTTCTCCTACAATTTTCTTGATGTTCTATAGTGCTTTGGACCTTATCTATAATGTATGTATTTCTACTTCAAAACACTCAGATTACAGATATAAAGCAACCCACTATGATTTATCAAAATGCTCCACAGAAGAAGGTGTTAGCCACAATTTATAAGATCTGGAATTGACAGCTTTGTGGAAGGACTGATAATAAAGAAAGAGGGGAGACAGTTTTGAACAAGTATTAGAGTTCAGACTACATCCACTACTAAGTGAACACCTGGAAGCAACCTGGGTACATGGATAATGTCCATGAATCATGGACATTGGTCAATAGCAGTCACTGAAAAAAAATTAAGTACATAAAATGTTTCTTAAGCTGCTTGACACTTTGCAAGTATTTTAAGATAGATCAATCTAACTTATTGAAAAAACAGCAAATAATCTGTGCATTTTTAAAGTAGGAGAGTTACATCCATTTGAAGACGGTCTGGCAGCCACAGCCACAATCTTTGAAATCTGCCCAAACTTTGAAGCAGACTTTAATGTCAACATCTGGAAAGTCTGACTTCAACAGGAGACCTCTACCTGAGTTAGCACTGAACCCCTGAAAATTTTAGTGTTCTTAACACATCTTTGAAATGCTGGAAGTTCAACACTATTCAGGAAGACGAGAAAAAATACAACAGGAAGTGTAATGTCTACAATTTAGTCAGTGTCCCTACAGGTTTCACATGTTCCACTATAGAGCAAAAGGATTAGCAAACAAGAGCAGTGAAACACCTTTGCTGCTACACAGCATGAAGGGAGCAGTTAGTGGAGTTTAGCATAATTTTGTGTGATTCATTTTCACTGCACCTGTACCATGTTATTAAAAGGTATTCCATGTGGGTAATGGCAACAAAAGAAAATGAAGTGGGATACATTTCAAGTGATGAATCTTCCTGCCACACCAAAGGCATGCCATCCCCATTTCCCAAGCAATTTGTTAAAAATATATTGGGGATGAGCAATGGGATCCTTTGGTACAGATGCGATGCACACACCCTTGGACAACTGCCCCCTAAATGTTTGGAGTGACACAAGACACAGGAACAGTGGACAGAGAATATGAAGAAAGCTGGGAAAAAGGAGTGGGCTGGGTGATGATTGCCTGAGAATAAAGGAGCAAACTTTCAGCTCTAAAACAGATAAAGTAAGTCCTAACAGAAACAGGTTCTAATAAAAACAGCAGCTCCTAAGGGGCAGCAACACAACGGCATGCTAAAAATACACATGATTTGGCTTGATTGTCAGGAAGAAATTGAAGACAGCTGCACGGGTAACGGTATTTTCTATTTTTGCAAAGTTTTCCCCTCCACAGCAGCACGTACTTACCAGGAAGCTGTAGAAGAACTCGTGCACGCAGAGGCCCAGCATGCAGACCAGGACATAAGCCACGTGGTAGAGAAAAGCCATATCCATGATGACCGCTCGATAGCCACGGGTGAAGGTCCCACGGTTCCCAACAAAGCTCACCAGGAACACGATTTTGTTACACAGCTGGGGTGGGTAACAAAGGTTAGGTTTATGCCTCAGAAAAATCCTGGTATTTTTTGTTTGGATTGCTGTCTAGATAGGTTGGTTTGACTAAACACACAACTTTAGATAGCTGGAGTGAGGTGAGGGAAATCCAGCTCTGACAGCGCACTGGGAATGAGCCCATGGGTGAATGGAAGTACAGCACCTCTCCAACACTATGTCTCATCACACTGTGATTTATTCCTATAACATTAGTGAATAGGTGGGTAGGATTAATGTCACAAGGCATTAAAATCCAGCTGGGGAGTGAACTCCCAACAATTTTGAGTTTAGACCCAAGACTATGTAAGAGCAGCTAGGCATGCTACTACCAAGAGAACAATAGTAACACAACAGAAAGTGCGTGTGTGGGTGTGTGAGATCTATTTCCTTCAGATCATGTTCTTCAATTTAAAATCCTTAAAAAAAACCCTCAGAACTGAGAACATTTTTGAAGTATAGCATTTAAACAACAGCCTTCTCCGTGACTCCTGAGCTTTGCCTACACATGAGCAGCGGTGCAGCAGTGAACAGGAAAGGGCCTCACCTCATCTCTCTGGCAGTCCAGGACAAGGAACGAGGACTCAACACGATTCCTTTGTTCACAAATTTGACATGGACAAGTGCTGCTTACTTGCCTTTACCTTTATGTCTGGATATTTTTCAGTGTGTGAAATTCTCACATACAGAACTGGTGGCAAACAGCCCAATACTTTGTGCTGGGGTGAATTAGAGCTGTAGCAGCCAGGCAGAAATTCAAATAGATGACTTGTGAGCACGACTGTGTATCTTACCAAGCTCAGTAAGCATGCAGACTTATTCATGTCTAAGTTAAGAGATCTGGCAAGGGACTGGGAGAATTTTTAATTTTGAAAACTTTTCTTCCCAAAAATATATTTAAGGTCTCAGAAACATTTCAAAAATTTGTGTAAATAGTGCTGAAAGTACTGGTAGAGAAAATTATTCTTCTAACGTGAGAAACTGTAGATTTGATTGCCCTTATGCAGCAATATTTCTTTAAATTTCATATTGCTTTTGTTTTTTAAAATATTTGCATATGCACAAAACGAAACCAACTTTTTTCTTAGCTTCCCACTTAGCTGACACTGCTGTTTCAGAATGACTGGAAACTATTTATTTTTTTGGCTTAACCAATGAATCAGAAAAAGAAATTTTTGCACAGTTCTAATCAAATGAGTTTTTTTAATAGGAGACCCTTAATATCTTTACTTCTGCTGAAAGGGAAATTCTGGTTCCTTTTGAAGTACTTACATTAGCAGCACCAAGGAGTATCAAGGTAGGACCGAGCCCTATAGTATATATAGACCTGAGAATAACAGACACCAAAAAGGGTCGAATGCCAACAGGCTTGGAGATGAAAAACAGCATTGCTGTGCAAAACGCCACTGCTATCCAGAGGAGCACGGAAAACAACGGTGAGAGTGTGCCTGTGCAGAGGAGAAAGGGAGATTTGAGAAAGGCATCTTTGGAGACTCCATTTTTCACCAAGAAACGGATCCAAAAGATCAATTCCTTTGCCAGCAGAGCTAACAAAAGCGTGATTCATGCATCACAACTGCTGACCACGGCTTGTCCTAATTGCAGCAGGAGCTATTATTCTCGGAGTATTGTTGCTTTTTGCACAGGTAATAATACAAGCAGCTAATAAAATTTCCATTAAAATCCAGGGAGTGCTCAGAGATGGAACAGTTTACCCTTCTCCTGGAGCAAGCCACTAATCAGCTCCCTTCTGCATGGATCATTAGGGCCCCTCCGATCTGATTCCATGATTGCTCAGCTACAGAAATAGCCGGTCCTGGGGGCAGCACAGCAAGTGGCAGGGCGCTGCAGTGCCACGGTTCCAGCTGCGGCTCCCGAATAAGCAGCTCCATCCCAGAGAGCCGAGGGAGCCTCCGCCTCTGGAGTGATGGAGCCTCCATCATCCTGCGGGAGCCTCCGCCTCTGGAGTGATGGAGCCTCCATCATCCCGCGGGAGCCTTCGCCTCTGGAGTGATGGAGCCTCCATCATCCCGCAGGAGCCTTCGCCTCCGCCCGGGAGCGGCCCCGGGCAGGGCAGGGCAGAGCCGGGTGGCTCCACAGTGCCCGGAGCGCTGAGCGGCTGCGCTCCACCTGCACAGCCAGTCCCTGCTGCTCTCTCTGCGAGATGCTGGCTCCAGGCACTCCCCGAGCTTTGAGCGATGCCCCTGCGTTCCCTCTCCCCTCTGCTTAAAGCTCTGGAGACGCACCATGTTGCTGTGATATCAAAAGCGCATTCAGATCTCAGGGCGCTGTCACACTTGTACACTGACTTCTATTGTTATGGGATGAACCGAGAGGTCAGTGATGGGGGAGAAGGGAATAGAAAATTTAGCTGGGCTCACAATAGGAATCTCTTTGGCAACAGATACACAGCTGAGCAGCATCACTGGGATTGGAAAACAATGAGACGAGGCCCTAGCTTCAACATTCAGATGGCATCCGAACTTTTCCAAAGTTCAGGAGTGTTTCTGTCCCTGGTGGGAGGTTCAAGGTCAGCTCTGTCAGAGAGTTTCTTTGCCAACAAGATTTGGAAACTTTTAATGGATCCTAAAAAAAAATTACTTTCAAGCCCATCTGAAAGGTAAGGCCAAAGTTCCCTGTGGTTCTTTCACAGACCAGTTTTCCTTCTTCCCTACTGCAGGCCCAGCAATTTCACGCTGCAGGACCCACACCAGTACCATGTGCAGACAGGCACCCTGGAGTCAAGGGGTCTTCACAGAATCATGGTTTGGGTTAAAAGGGACTTTCAAGATCATCAATTTCCATTCTCCCTGCCATGGGCAGGGACACCTTCCACTATCCCAGGTTGCTCAGAGCCCCATCCAACCTTGCCTTGCACACTTCCAGAAATCCAGGGACAGCCACAGCTGCTCTTGGCAACCTGTGCCAGGGTCTCACTACCTTCACAGGGAAGAGTTTTTTTCTAATAGCTAAACAAAACCTACTCTCTGTCAGCTTGAAGCCATTCCTCCTTGTCCTGTCAGTACATGCTCTTGTCTCCTTTCTTTCTTTCAGGCTCCCTTCAGGAACGGCCTCCAGCTGGAGCAGTTTTGCCTGTATCATATTACATAAGAACTGCAAGTACCTACTAAAAAGCAGCATTTTGGGATGATTAGATCAGCCCAGATACCTCAGACAGGTGAACAGAGGTGGATTTACACAGGGTGAAGGGGAAAAATGGGAGACAAACTTCAGCTGTTGGATCAGGCTTTCATGGAGAGGGAGGCTGGAAGTTAGGAGGCTCCATCCTGACCTGCTGATTCGATTTGGCCACTCCTCTTCCTTACTGCTCAGGAGTCGCTTTGGCTTTACAAACACCAGGAGCTGGAATCCTGAAATGCACTGTCACTGGATTATTTGGGCCACTTAAACTAATGCCATACAAATCTGCAGTTCAGAATAAGTATTAATACCTACTGATTGCAGACTAGAGGATTTCCACGAGTATAGATTAGCTAAAATTTAGTAGCTTAAAAGGTTTATTTTTAACCCTTTATTTCTCCTCTCATCCTCCGTGGGCTCTCATGTGCTCTGAGTGACTCCCCAGTTTACAAAGCACAAGATGCTTCCCTTCTCCAGGGCACAGCCCTGCAAACTCTGCCTCACTCCAAGAGGCTGTGGAGCTGCCTGAGCTGTGACCTGCAGAGACCACCCTGTGGGCTGCGAGGGCAGCGTGGTCCCCATGCCAGTATATTTTAATCCGCTGCCTTTCTGTTCTGCCAGGCAGCAGGAATGTTTGCTGGTGCCAGCTGTGATGTTTGTGAAAAGCACATGTATCTACTAGAAGCTGGACTGCTTCCACCAGCCCAGTTCACATGCCATCAGACAGAGGTGCCTTTCAGTCACATTACTGACTGGCCACCAATCAAAGGCCCAGAGGTGAATGGCTCTGCTCCCATTACCAGTATTCCAAACTATTTAGTGTCCTTTATCCCAATTAAGCTTGTTTGAGCTTCAAAGAGGCCTCCTGCTAGTCTGCTGCATTTACAGCAAATAAAAAACTCCATTAAATATTTCCTGTGACATGGGATGAAGCAGAGACAGAATCAAAAGTTTTAAGAGTATTTTTATATAATGCATTTCTCCTCTGCAAAAGTTATGCCCTTTTATCCCAATAAACAACACAGTCAAAAGCCAACAAGCTAGTTTTCAAATAATTCTCTTCCATATGTTTTCAAGACTGCAAGTCATTCAATTTGGTCAGCCTTAAGGAATCTCTGTCTTTCTGCTGCCAGGAATCCTCCTTCAGTTCAGAAGCTGCAGCTAAATGTGTGCAGTAGCACACTGCAATATGGCAATATAAAAAAAAATTAGCTGAGATCATCTAGATCATCTCCAGCTTATGCCCTGTCCATTCTGCTCTGCACTGTGTGGGCCACGTGACACACAAATCAACCACCACATTTCAGACAACATCTGGTACCTACTCAGGAGACACCAAATGGCTTCCAGATACGACTGCACCTGAAAATGCAGCTTTATTTGTTACCTTAGAAATGAAAGCATCTAAAATTAAAACTAAAAATAAGACCAAACTCTACTTGCCTTCGTCTCCATCGTCTCCAAAAGGGTAGAACAGAGCAACTGCTAAATTGATGAATACAGCAAGGTTGAAGGAAATGCTCCCCCAGAGAGAGATGTGTCTGGAGAACCAAAACAGGGCTGGGTTATCTAGAAAGGGGAGAAAAGCAGCAATCAATAAGCTGAAAGCAAGCAGAAACTCAATCACCAATGGCCCCAAGGGAATTAAATAGAAATTAATGTAGAAAATATGCAGATCTTTAAAATTAACTATAATAGACAAATATTAAACATAGGTTTGCCATAAAACAAAATTTCAAGCAGAGCTTTTAATCCAAAGATCACAATACTGTTTATTATATACTGGAGTTTTGCCTCTGGTAAGATGTTAGGCCTGGATATTTTGCAAGGGAGTCTTTTCAGCTGCATCTGAATCTGCAGCTTCTGTGCATGGGGACACAAAATCAAGCAGACAAATAGATTTTAGCACTCTGAATGTCAGTCAGCCAGAACACCCAGAATGTATCATCCAGATGACCTATTTGGACCAAGTACACCGATGACATAGGCAAAGAACCATGGAACGGGCATGGTTTCAGAACTGCAGTATTTTTCCCACCTCTGTCAAACTAAAAACATTTTGATCTGCCTGGGAAGCTGGCAGTATTAGGTCTGCCTGGGTTTTGTTTCTACAAAAGCTGACTATTTCCTGTGTGATGCTCAGAAGCCCGTGGTCACCTGCTGACAAACAGCTCTGTACTCCGACTTAAAAGGACTCAAACAAGCCATGATCTCCATATGTGAACTGTTGTACAAACACACAGAAAGAGTCCATATCCCAAAGAATCTACAGCCTAGCTAGAAAAGACTAAAAAGGGAAACAGTGCAAAACAGTGTTGAATTTGTGTCCAGAGTCATATACATGGTTCAGCAAGGTCAGGAACAAGATCAGAGAGTGTGAGACTCAGGCAAGCACTGAATATGTATTAATGAACTAAAATACATTTAAATGAACATTTGAAACAAGATCCTATGTGCAACAGTGTAAATACATCTCTGGTCAGAGAGGTTTCACACATGATACATCCCTATTAACTAGATTTCAAAGTACTGAAAACTTCCTGCAAGTATGCAGAGCACCCATAGAAGTTTTTATAAAAGCAGACTCCTTCAATTGCATATCCTGCCTCAGGCTTCAGGCCAAATAGTCTTTAATAGCAATTAGGTAAATATTCAAATTTCATTGTGATAACCTTGTGCTGCTGACTGCTGAGATTTAAGCATTTGAAGCCACTGCAAAAATGACATCTGCCAATTTAAGCAGCACAGACATCATGCTAATGGACACTTGGCTAAAGAATGAACCCAGCTTCAACCTGAAATATCCTTTCAAATAATAATAAAAACCCAACAAGGAGACTTGCTGGCTAGTACACTGATGAAAGGAATTGAGAAATTTCTACTCTGAATAAAAACAAACCCATTTTCTTTGTTTATAGCATTAGGTAGGTCTGGTCTATCTAATTGTTGGGTTGGCTATTTTATTTGTGTTTCTAATGCAAAACCCCCAGATATTATTTTTTTACTGAAGTAATTTTTCTACAATACAATGACTTTATTCCCAAATATTCTGCAGATTCTGGAATCATGTATTTTTCAACTCCTATTCTGGTCATTTTGTCATTACTAAGTTTTTAGGGTGCCACCAAGAGAAGCAGATTTGGGTTGATGAAGTTTTCGCTGAAGACTTGCTGCTGCTGAAAATTAAAGCCTGAAAATTGACATATAAGAAATTGCAGCAACATCCATGTTTCCATCACATTCAGGGTGCTCCCACATTGTTCTGACTATCCTGCTGCTCTGACCCTATTCCTTCCTTCCTTGCTGATCAATTGCTGTGAGCCGATGATGTGTGACACTCCAAGAGCATCTGCATTTTAGCAGTGATGAAGTGATCACTTTAAGCCATATTTATGTATATTCAGCCTGGAAAAGAGAAGACTTTGGGGTGACCTAATTGCAGCATTCCAATGCCTGAAGGGAGCCCACAGGAAAGATGAAGAGACACTCTTTACAAGGGCCTGGAGTGACAGGACAAGGGAGAATGGCTTCAAACTAAGGGTAGATTTAGACTGGGTATTAGGAAGAAATTGTTCCTTGTCACGGTGCTGAGGCCCTGGCACAGGGTGCCCAAAGAAGCTGTGGCTGCCCCATCCCTGGAAGTGTCCAAAGACAGGCTGGTTGGGGCTTGGATCAACCTGGCATAATGGAAGGTGTCCCTGCCCATGGCAGGAGGGCTGGAACTCTGTGATCTTTAAGGTCCCTCCCAACCCAAAACATTCTGTGATTCTACGATATATATAATACAACTTTCTGCTCCAAAAGCCAAGGGCTGAGTTGACAGTGGCTGAGCTGCCAGGAGCCTCTTGATCCAGGCACATTGGCAATAGTCCCATTCCCACCAAGGGCCAGAGCTGAAGACATTCAGGGCACCTGGTGGGGCTTCCCTGCCCCTCCTCTTGGTGGCCCTGCTTTGACCTCTCCCCCATGATCTTGACCAAGCAGCTCAAGGCCACACATGTGCCTCCCCAGTACCTCAGGACATGCACCAGTATGGGCCAACTGGGACACCCTGCAGCCCAGTCACGCCAGGCTGATGTGGATTGGTAGAGGGGGTCTGGCTCCATGAGAGCTGGGCAGATTTAAAGCAGCTGAGGTTCTGGTGAGAGCTGTTTTTAAGTGACTGACATTTACAAGTCTTTTGATGGTCCTTCAGGAATTTGCAAACCTCAAATATGCAGCTACACATGTTTTTGTTAAATATTAGGGGCCTTGGTTTAATTAGGTGCAACACTATCAAGTTCAGTAGGACTACACCCAGTTCTTCCATCCCTCAATTCAACTTTTGGAGTCCAAAACATCATCTTGAACACATTAAGAACTGCTCCATATTACACTTCTTTTATGGTGGCATGCAAGTGTCTCAGCAGACCTACACTCTCAAGCCCAGAACAGTTTTGCCTGTTCTAGTGTCAGAGTGAACAGAGAAAAGTGTATCATTAAAATGAAAGTATTTGAAGGTTTAAAAGCAAGGTTTTAGCATAATGAAGCTAATTTTTTTCAAATTAAAATACTTACTTCTAATTTTCTTTTGCCATTTCATCTCGTTGTACAGATCCTCAGTCTGCTGGAAAAAGTCATTGACTTTGCTCCCTTGTTCATCTCTCTCTGTTGTGTTGAACACCCGACTTTTGGATTCCCGAGTGAGGAATTCACAAATATTGGGGACAGGAAAGACAATCTTTTCCATTGTTCTATCATGGCGAACAATCTATAAATAAAATGCACATTTTTGCCAGTCAGTGACTATCCAATCATTTTGTCATATCTTTTCTTGTTCACAGCTCCCCTTTTATTTACAAATGAATGCATTAATTATTTGAACACTACAATAAAGTTGGACCAATCAATCCCAAAACTGAGTAAAGCTGCTTTTATTCTCAAAAGCCTGCCTGAATAAGGTGACAAATGTAAGTCTCAAGAAAAACCTAGGTTCAAACTTTGTCAAATATAAAAAATGTTGTAATTCGGAATGCTTCAATTTGTCAGCAAATTGAAACAAATCTGACCCAGTAAAAAGTGGAGAAGTTCAGAGGCTTTCTGCTCTGATTACAAAATGTTTTTTTCATCTTGAATCTGCTTCTATGATGGGATAAATTGTAAAGGTGAACATGCAAAGATATCACCTTGTTACTCAGGCAGCACCCATATCTTGTCAGTCTTTATCTTTTTACTTGACAAAACCCAAGGTTTTGAATTGTTTGCATTTCAGCACCTACCAAGCTATCAGTAAGTGAGCTAGATTTTATTTCATCTCACCACACTGCCATCAAAATTGCTTCCCCATTCTGATTGTTGTCTCTGCATTACTAAAAAACAGAAATGGGTAGACTCCTACAACCATGCCTCTGTGCAGCCACTGGTGGAAAAAAAAACCCAAAAAAACACTATTTGAATTTCAAATCAAACAAATGAGATACATTAATATAGGAGAGACAATATCTGACACACCAAACACGTCTAGGACTGCTTTCAAAGACAAGCAGTTATCTATTTTGTATAGCAGCAATGCTGGGTTGAGTTTCCCTTTTCCAGAAGAAGCTATTGGTCACATAAAAGTTGACCACAGTGCTTGTTTAATGCCTAAATTTACAAGCTACCCAGATAAACTGGCTGATAATTGCTAAGAGAGATCTCAGCAGCAGCCAAAGAATTAAAATGCATTAAGAGAAGCACTGAGCTGCCCCCTGGACAACCAAGGCCACAGATCTTCCACTCATCCTGTGATGGGATATCTCTGTCTGTGGACCTCTATCTAAGTCTGACCCGTGGCAGGTGTAAAGTTTAAAATAGAGAATAGAACTGCTGAACCAGACCAAGCCTTGGTATTTTAAACAAAGCCATATTAAATGTTTACACCACTTCAAAACTTCTTTGTAGTCCAGGCAGAGTTTTAATTTGATAGCCAGAATCAGTGGCTTTGAAATTCATGATTACTTATTTGAGTGATGTACCATACAAGATGATTCTTGACTTCATGACACAGCTCCTATCCACAGTCATTATTTCCCTAACAAAACATGTTTGGTAACACACAGGAAAGCCACTGTGAAAGGACGGTTTGGAGCCATGTCTAATATAGGTGTATTCCTTTATCTTCCACAGCCAAAAGCATATTATTCAGCCTTCTCCTCCAAAATAACCCACACCATCTGGAAGCTTAAAAAGAGGAGCTACACAACGTGCAAGATGTAGACTTGTCCATCTTCTGGAGAGCAATTCTTTACCTCTATCTGTGCTGTATGTTTGGCGTAAAACCGCAAGGCTTCATCTCCTTCATCTGGATCTGACCCTGGCTTCAGCATCTGTTGCAATGTTTTATTGTGACAAGCCAACTAGAAAAAGAAGAAAAATCTGATTTATGTCCTGCTGCTATGTTTTCAGCTGTATCATCTCCACTTAACTAACACAAATCTTCCTTCCCCCCATTCCCATATACTTACATGCTCAACCCAGTGGGGCTCTTTCCACAGATAACAACAAAAATGTAATTACTTGAGAACAATAGAAATAATTTAGTCTTAAGAAGTCAGCAGAAAGTCTTCAGTTGAGATTTATGAAAGGCAGCTTAGTCTGCAGCCTGGATGGATTTTGGAGGGCTTTTGACAAATGCCAAAAAATTAGACTGAATGCTTCTTTTCACTTGAGTTTAGACATAAAATTTGCATACCTCTGAATACTAAATTACATTTACGATTAATTTTTCTCAGTGACTTCAAATGCCTAAACTAGGTTGTAGGTTGCTATTCCAGGGCTGTAACTATTTCTGAGGGACCTGGACTGTAGTGCCAGGTAAATACATCCTTAACTGTACAGTTTATATACACAGCAAATAGATACATACAGACATACACGCTAATATGCATCTTCTATAAACTTCTAAAAATCATACACTTCACATGATTGATAAAATACACCTGTTATACATTGAGTAGTAGATATTTTAAATGCCCCATTGCTGTAAAAGTTTAAAAAGAAAGGTGTTGGCAAATGCATTCACAATGTCCTGTAGATGAGTGAGAAACAAAGACCTAATTATAAGGCATAAGGAAATTACTAAAAATTCAATTTTCCCTACATCCTAGCAAGTAGTTTCCATCCAGAATAACTGAGGTGTTTCACCTGTTTTAAGATGGGAAAAACTGCAGCAGGAAAGAGAGGAAAAGCCACCTTGCAGATGTGATCCAGGTTGAATCATCACAGGTGACATTACCACAACAGACCATTAGAAATGAGGCAGGCACACACTCAAAATGACCACAGGAACCGGGGCTTTGAAGTGATGATCACCACAGGTGGGCTGGGATTGTGCTACATGAAATAGCACAGCCTGGTGAGGAATTATAAAATAATTGCACAGCTACAAAAAGACTGACAGGGATTAAGTCTAAAACTAACAGTGGATTCAAACAGATACTGTAATAATCTAACCAGCACGTGAGCTCTCTCATCTGAAATTTGCATGTCTCATTATCTCCCTTTTTTTTTAACAAAAAGCCAGGGGAGAGATACATATAAAATTTAGTCCATTTATTGAAGTTCCCTATAATCTACTGATCAAAATAAATTTTCTTCTGGATCTCAATACAAACTTATTATATAAAAATGAATAAAAAATGGAACATCCAAAAGTAAGAAAATATCAGAAGGGGATATTCAGGAAGAATAAATGTGCTTCCAGCAACATTCTTGGGGACAGAAATCTGTTTGTTCCTGACAGCACAGCCTGAGCCAATGTGGCACAACATCAGCATTTTATAAAAGTGTCATGAGCAGATATTCAGGGAGACCAGCAAAGAAATGACATGGGGGTTAACTGCAGAGGAATATTCCTTCTATCAGCAGTAGATTTCTGTCCTGAATAGTTACTTTTTTACTCCACCTAGCAAATGCATGGATAGTATAATCACACACATCAATGTCTTTACCTAAACTTCCACTTATTTTTGAGACTAAAAAGGTTCTCTGAGAATATCTGACAAGTTCTTCCCCTTCACACAAACCAAATAATCTGGTCCAACCAGCAGCTTTTGCAGCATAACCACCAATCTCCTAGAGGTCCTTGCATGCCCCTCAAGCCATGCTCTAGAATCATGGAGAAAGAAGATGAGCCATTGGAAACAACACAGATACTGTTTAAAAATGCCCTTTCAGCAGTGTTATTACTTTTGCCTTTCTGCTTTATTGGCCGTCCCTCTGCTTCTGTACTTAGGAAAGGGCAAGCAAGAGTGCCCAGTTCACCTTCTCTGTATCATTCATCATTCTGTACACTACTGTCACGTTCTCTTTTATTTGTCTCTTCTTTAAATTAAAACAATCCCTAGCCTTCCCATCCCTCCTCAAACAGAAGACTCTCTGTGACTCAATTATTTTCCCTGTCTATCTCCAAGTGCCCTTTACTTTGGCTATATCTCTTCTTTAAGATATGAAGAAGAGCACTGACTAGACAGAATGCAATCACACCGTGCTTGGAGTGATGAATTAGCATAACCAGGAGCAAATATATTACCCTTTTATTATCTTCTGTAATACAGAGGAACTTTGCCTGTATCTTGACCTTTATTTCTCCAATGTGAACTATTAAGATTTTCAGTTTCCTAACAAATCACAAGTCAAGGACATATGGATAGTTCTTATTAAAACTATGCCAGTTTGGATTAAGGGACCTACTATAGGTTCAGAATTTTCCATTAGTACCACAAAAAACTTTCCGTGTTTCTATTTGAACTTGTATGCAGAATTAGAAATGCGATTTGTAAGCCATATAAAAACTCTAGATATTGCTTCCTGATATGCTTTGAACTGTCCATAACTTTTACTGTAGAAGTCTCTCTTGATAAGTACTAGTAACAGAAATTCTCTTATCACGTGGAGTAGAAGGGAAAACAATGTCAGCCTCTCATGCTCTAATGGGACTGGCTAGAACAGGGTGTTCAGAGCCTGCTGGGGATTTGAGATTGAGCATATTTTGCTATCAGGTTTCACATGAACAGCAGCCACGCTGTTTGAAACAGTGTGTATTTGTGATCTGCACTGTGCTTTCTGAGGCTGTGCTTTCAGGCTGTGACTGTCCCGTGCTGATGTGTGAGCAGAGCCTAGCACTGCATGGCTGGGGCATTCCATTGCAGCCACTGGACAAAGTGTCCTGAAGAACAAGCCAGAATTTCCTGTTCCAGCCCCTCAGCTGCCAGAAAGGCACACCAGAAACAACGAGGGATTTCTGACCAAGCTGGAGCAGCTGCAGAACATTTCAGATGGGAGACCTACCTAAAGGCAATCTTCAGCTGGTGAAGCTGAGTCTTCTTCACTCATAACTCCATTTCTCTCAGCTTCCAAATCTCTCAATATCCACTTACCTTCTGTGTAGTCTAGACATTCAGACAGTAAGCTCAGGGTAAAGGGCCTATCAATTTTCTGCTCATATCTCAGTTTCTACACAGGATGGATTCCTCTACAGCGACACAACAATAACTACTGCTAATATTTCTGTATTGCCACAGCCACACTGATGAAAGAACATTGTGGACAGCAATCTGAGAGAGTTCAGATCCAAAGCAGAGGCCCACAGTATGACATAGAACATCTTTAGGAATGCTGTTATTTGGCAACCATGGTGTTTTCTGAAGCTCTGCTCTCACGATCCTTCTTTCGCCCCTTTACGAGCTCAGAGGCCCACTTGGGCCAGGGGTACTGTGTCAACAGATGCCTTGACCAGGGCAGAGCTTTTTGTGAGATCAAAGACACAGCAATGAAAATAACAATGCAGTGACAAACTGTGAACCTAAAATACAGAGAGCTTATCCAAGTTTATAATACACCCTAGGTGACAGCTTGTGCATGGTGGGTAAAGGTCGTGCAAGCTCTGAGTGATATTTTTTTCATATTTAACTGCTGTGATGCAGTAAAGTGCTATATCCAGTGTGTTGCACAAATCTTTTGGAGCAGCTGGAGGACATGGCAAGGGATGGACATAGCTGAGAGCAACTACAATGAGAAGAACAGTTCCATTTATGTTTGCAAAGCAAAGCTCAAAATGCAGCTCAAAAATGCGCCTCAAAAATATACTGCAAGTGTAACTGATAGAAAAAAATAACCATCACTAGAGCCCGAATTTGCAAAGAGCCCCAGAAAAATCACCATTGTGGAGAAAACTCACTCACTCACTCACACATCAGACATGCCACTGACAATATTTTAAATGTCAACACTGTATTTTACTGCTCATCAAGGCGTGTAGGGACAAGGAAGCAATAGCACATAATGGAACAGTGATTTCCAAAGAGGGGATGTGCAAGGCAATAGCTATATGAATAAAGATCATTTGGCTTTCAGTCAGCTCCCAAGGAAGGACTGCTGTTCATCTTGAAAGATTTCTACTTAAAAAATTTGGAAAACACTGTTATAAAGCATCAGTACAAAATGTGAAAGATTGAGGACACACCAAGAACGCTGAAGACATTAATAAAGAAACAGTAGAGATAAATGACAGAATTACAAGTAACACTCAGTCTAAACTTCTGACACAACATGACTATAAAATCAGATCTGCTACTCATCTGGGATGCCATATATGATCAGCAGTGTGGAAAACCACAGCAGACCCAGCTTTTGCAATTAATAGATGGGTTTCCTGCAGACCTGTAGTTTTATAGTCAAGATTACCTTGAACAAAAACGAAGTTATTTAAATGCTCCTAAAGGAAAGACTGATTTAAAGCTGTGAACACTCATTTCAGCAGCCTGTCATTAACTCACTGACGTGGAATAGTAGAGTGGTTTGCCAAAATACCAGTGTGTGAATATATGTGTGCATGTGGAAAAATTGCTTGATAAGAGAGTTTTTCTCCACTTTTCAATATTTCTGTAAAACACAGAGCCCCTCCGTATTTTAATAAGGATGTGTCAGTCCCTTGTTATAACTTGTAAACTGCAGAGGTCTCTCAAGTTCTCATCAAAGGCATGAGGTCTTACCCAGTACACAGCTGAGATGTTTGTCAAAATTCCTGCTGATTACACCAGGCTTTGCTGAAGCACCCAAAAGGACAAGAAATACAAGAAAAAAAGTACAAGAAATACAAGCTAGAGACACTAGGTTGGAGACCCCCAAATTCGGAGAGATTTTACTCCCCAGCATGTTAAAACTGCCTAACATGGGGTGGGAGGGTAGGGTAAAGGTGACTTTTTATGACTAGGATGGTATAAAGGGATCTAAAGGAGTGAGGTTTAGTGTCCTGTAAGCAATCAGGCTTTTTAAGGAAGAGTCAGCTCACAGGCTAAGTGTCAAACACGTTAAACTGATTTCCTAGGAAAGGTTGATGGAATAGTATAAAAAGCAC